AAGGGGAGCAGAGAAACAGATTCTAACCTAAAGAGCAGGGAGATGATAAAGTAATAGGGAAGAAAAAAAGGGCTACTGAGCCCTTTTTGGGGCTCCTGGTGTTTTACAGGAGTGGGCACAGCTCCCCGTGCTGGGACTGCAGGCACCGAACCGCAGGGAGTCCTGCAGAAGTTTTGATTATGTCTGGGCACACTGTGGCCTGCCTCCTCTTCCTTCTCTCCCTGTGGGCAGAGGGGTGCTTGGTGTTCATTTCCCACAGCAGAATTTGCTGCAGGTGGTACTTTTAATGGGGATTAGTAAGTATCTCGTTAAGGCAACACTGCAATTTTCAGTGTTTCCACCTTGTTGCTCAGCCTGAAGCAGATGTAAACTTGGTCTTCAGGTCAAGTGTTCTCCAGCACTGTGGGGCTCTGAGAGCTGACTGAGACCTCTGGGATCTTCAGTAAAACAAATAATTTTGCTGTGTGTGAGAAGTATGAAGAAAACAGCGAAGTTTCTATTTAAGGCCTTGCAGCCTCAAAGATCAGCTGTTCAAAGCATAAAACAAACAAAAAAAAATCCTCCATTAATAAAAAATAATTTTAACATCTTTGACAGCTCAGAAAACCCCCCACAGTTCTTTTCTCTTTTCTGAAGCTACATAATTCCATCCATTTCTCCCGCAGAAGGTGCAGAGGTTGAAAGCTGAAATGCAGTTGTATGTGAAAGCCTCTGTGTATTATCTTGCTTTATCACTCACTGATCAGCCTGGTGTTCACACCTTCCCTCCTCGGAATTCAGAGAGGTGTTCTGACCTAACCCTTCCCTCCTTGCACCTTCAGCTGCAGATGAAAACTGTGTCCTCTAATGCCTACTAGGGCCATGTGCCCAGCTAATGGCTTTTGACTGCGTGCACATACAGATTTCCTTGGCTTTTGTAATTTGTGCTTCTGGTTTTAGCTTTTAAATCCATCATCGGGGCTGGCATGGACATCCTGGCTTATCCATAGCCACTCACGCTCTGTGCCAGCAGAATCACTTTTGTAAAGCACCTTGAGATGCACGCTATGTAAGAAGCTGTGTATATCCCATTGGAGTAATCTGGTGCAATAATCTGGAGGCAGCATTTACTGTTCTGCAGCATCCTGACATATGGTCTCTTGTTACATCACGCTTTGCAACAGGTTAGAGCCTACGGATTTATTCCTGAATTTTGGGTGTTAAGCTGCTTCTCTTGCAGGAACAGAAAAGGAAATAGAATACTACATGCATGATTTGTACCTCCAGGGATATTCACATAGCCTCTGTGCCTCTTGTTTCTGGAAGGCATCCTGGGAATAACACCAGGTATTCAATTAACTCTGGTCTGTTACCTCGGTGCTGTCTGAAGGGAACAATCTCCTTCCTCCTGCCTTACCCCAGGAAAAGAATAGGATCAGGCCATAGAGATACCCCACAGTGTACCTTCAGGTGTAAACACCTTACCTCCTGAGAGGAGAATTCCTTTCATGTTTGCACATTTCAACCCCCCCTGACCACTTTGAAATGACAGAATCTCCAGCCTTCTTGCACTGAAAGGGCTGATCTCTGCCCTCCAGAAAGTGGTAGCTAGGCATGAAAAAGGCAAATATTGTATCTTTAAACAAATGTTGCATCTAAAGTGAATAAACCTGCCAATGTCTGCAAATGGATCAGTTCAGTAGTCGTGAATACTAGATATGTATAGAGACATGTCAACAGCATGCCTTATAGTAAATACTAGAAAACAACAATCATAATGTTCACCTTCTTATTTGATAGCCAAAAAAAGGTCTGTTTTTGATGAGACTACCTCAGACCTGAATGGTCTTTTGCTAGAGATTAGCACAGGCCATTTGGGGAAAATGTCATGCACTGGAGAGTGAAATCCAGTAGCTCACTGATCAGCTGCAACCATCATCTATGCAGTCGTGCAGAAACCGGTAGATGGCACAAAACCTGATATGCCTCTTTGGTCAGCGGATCACTGTGTGTTAAAATCCCGCTGCAGGAGAGATTTTAGCCACCTCTGCCTTTACCCTGCTCTACCAAGGCAGCAAGGTGCTGAAGGGTTTGGGAGAGCGGCTGCTACTTAATTTTCCTGGCAAGACCTTGCCCTGAGAAAGCCATTCACTCCAGCCTGGCTATCCACCATGGCAGAGGAGCTGAGGCTCTTTGATTCCTCTGTGCCTTGAGCAGCCCCTTGTTTTTGCTTGAGAGCAGGGGGACGTGTGTGTGTCTTTGTCTGAGATGTGTCATATGCAAGGGGAGTACCACGGGCCCCTGCTCTGCCAGCTGTCAGTCAACACACCTACTGGAAATTACACTATCATACCTCAGGAGAGAAAGGTGCCTTTCCATTCCTGGCATTTAAAACTGTGGGGTATTTGATTGATGCCTTGAAAGTCATACAGCAGTGATCTACGGTTCCTTTTTAATCTAATGCCGTAACACACCCAACAACCTTGTCCTCGAATGACAAAGGAACAAACCTCAAACAATTTCCTCTTCATCTGTGTTGCATTACCCTCTTAATTAGAAAAGATCAGCACTTTTGAGCAGCAGTCACAGAAACCAAAAACCTCTACACCTGCAGCCTTACCTCAACCTTCCCCACAACGGGGAAGCCTCATTTCTTCTGCCTCCCGCCCCGATGAAGGAGTGGAGCAGACTATCATTGTCCTCCCAGTCCTTGGCAGATCTGGGACTGGGATGTGTGTCATCCAGCAATGCACACACAGGCCTGTGACACTGCAATAAAGCAGCACAATTTAGATCTAAGGCCAGAGCATGAAATCCTCACGACTTACGGCATGATAACCACCGCAGTGGCTGCCAAGGGGGACTCAGAATGCATGTACATGTATTTGTTCTCCAGTACCGTGGCAAAGAAGCACACAACTTGATTGCCTGCTGGGCAGCAGGGAACTTCATGCCTGGTGCAGGAGGCTATTTAGAGATCTCATACTGTGCCATTGGCTGCTGAGCTGGCAGCATATGTTGCTAAATCTGAGATGGCAGTGCAACTGCAGTAATTCCCAGAGCAGTTTACCCAGTGCTTTTTCCAATAATAAGGCAAAAAGAGGGGGACCCTGTTAGGAGTAGGAAATCCAAAAGTGCTGCTGCTGTATTTCACGGTATAGGGAAGAAGCTAAGATAGTCTGCATGCCTGTTTTACTACAGGTCATTAAAACTACCAGTTACCAGTGTGCTGAGCTCAGTGCACTGGATGGTCAGGCCACTTCTTCCGTCAAAGAACAGTCAGTCTTGAGGAGCAGGTCTGGAACAGGCTCTTGGATGTGTTCTTTCACAGCAAAAGCCTGTAGGGCACCTCTGTTTTTATAAAATCCGTTTCATGTTAATCAAGTTCAGCAAGCCCAGGAATATGTTTCAATGCTTTGATTCTTCCCTTTGCGTTGTTTTTTTTCTGTGCCTGGTACATACGACCATAATGTTGCAAAAATGAAGGTTACTTTGATTTTGTTTTCTTCTTGCTCCAAACAGCAAATAATGCAGTGACAGATGTTATGCTCACCAACCAAAATCTTGTGCTGTGATTAGCTATTATTAGCATGTGTCTAATCCCCAGGGGATTAAATGGTCATCTAAGCATGGCTTCGGGCGTCACCTATGTCTCACATGGACATAAACTAATCTGTTTTGTTGGAAACAGATGAGGTGATAAGTGTTTGGAAGCCTCCTAATTTACAGAAAATGTGCCTGTTTGTTCTTTGTCATATTCTCAGGGTGGAAAAGCACACTTCTGCATCTAGCCTTGAAATGCATTTTAAAAAGTTACTTTTCATGTGACTCTTTAAGCAGCCAAGAAGCCCCACTTACCAGCAGTTCATTCCCCTGTGAACTTGCCCAGGTTGCCTTTGAAGACACGCAGATGGCACGAACAGGGAATGTTCAGTCACAATACTGCACACAACGTACCATGGCCTCCCTCTAAAGTGTGCGTGGAAGCTGCGCAGAGGCCAAATAAAAATTTCCTCTGGCATCTAGCAAGGACTGCCTTTCCCAGGACTTGCAGGAACTTACTTGGGAACTATAGAGTTTTCCCTAGAGGCTGTGCCCAAGGCCCCCCAGCACCCAGCAGCCTGGTGGGAAAAATAGCTGGTAGTGACTGGCAACTCCCAGCTGAGTGCTCTGAAGTCTTAGATCTCCCGGGTGAGCCGGGTAGAAGGAGCACAGGAGAAGCCTTTGCAGCTGGGGAAATTCCTTGGGCACTTGAGAATGGCCATGAGGCGTGGTTTGCTGCCAAAAGCGTTTTTCTAGTAATTCCTGCCTTTTCATCCTTTTGTGTTTTACTGTATCCCCATGAAAGAAAGGCTTCTAGGAAGAATCTTTAGGGAAGGAGAGAGCTATGGTATCTATGTAACTGAAAATGTTGACAAAATTAGCTGGGAAGAATGTGCTTGGAAGTGTTGCAGTGCACAGGAGAACTGGGGACTCTGAGATTTTGATGTGAATGCGTGAAGGCAATGTAGTATTTTGTATTCTGGCCCTTTTTTGTCCCCTCGCCCCTGTAGGTAATGCCAACATCTTTCTACTTTTGCAAGGATCACCCCAATCTGATGATGCAGGTATCAGAGGAAGCTAATTAAATATCTGCTCCACGAATGTTGTCAAACTCAAGCACATGCTTCTGCAGATGAGTATGTGTAGCCCAAGCGTTCCTCTGATTAATGCTCTGAGCTTATTCTCCTAACATGTGTTTGAAGCAGAAAGACTTCAACGAGACAAAGGTACAATCAAATCAGCAGATTTATTAGCTTTCTGGGCAGCTTTTCCATTATGTAAAAGCTGTGTTTGTATTACTGTAGCAGTCAGACCCACCAGTGTGAGGATTAAAGTTGGTTTTTACATAATGGATTATCCAAGATTAAGTGTTTTATTCAGGCACAAGAGCAAAAATAACCAATTAGTGACTTTGCAGATTCCTTATTTAAAGGCAGCTGGCGGGCAATTGACACAAAACTCTCCTGCTACCTGCAGCCCAAAGACTGAAGCAGAGTAGTCTCAAGGATCTCCATCATCTCTATCCCAGGTAGGTCTCTCTTCAGCAGAGGTGGACCAGATTATCATCTCTTGCAGCAGGGAAGCGCAGCTTGCGTGGCAGCAGCCAGGAACAGAGTAGCTGCATGGCTCTTTGGGTGATGGGTTGGTAGCTCAGCCTGGGTGCTGCTGAGAAGTTTCAGGCAACAGTTTTGTCTTGGCATCAGGACAGGTATTCAGAGTCAAATACTTCGCAAGAATGTATCATGAAGATGCTCTCTTCCCAAAGACTGAGAATTATGCTGGGATATGGATGAACTGGGATACCCAAGGAGACAAATAAAGCCATGGGCACACAGTGGTTGTTCTGCAATGACAGATCAAGCCTCTAGCAAGTTAATATTAATATTATTCATCATGTTTGTCAAGGAATGGTCAGAGGGCAGGCAATACCAAGGTGTATTTTACAACCTTCAGTGCTTTACTAGAGCTCAGCAGAATATTTTCCTTCCCATGAAAACAAAATTCAAAACATCTGAATTTTTTACCAGGCCTTACCAACCTTATCCATAGTCTGGCTTGATTTATAGTATAAGAATACCATGAACTGCAATACCACTACTAGCAAGTGAAATACTCTTGCAAAGCAATTGCCACTGATGTTCAATTTTGGCTGAATTTAGGCACCACAACGACTCAGTAGTTTCTCAGTGGAGGAGTTGGTAGTGCACTCAGTTTGGAAAGAAACTAGTTTTAAAATGAGGGAGGTGCATCTCTAGGCATGGCACTTGCAACCCCCATCTACTGCACAAAATAAAACTCTGTGTTTGCTTTTGTCTTGCAGAATGAAATACGCTCAGTACGTTTTCCTGGCCTCGGTCTGCTCCAGTGTTGGATATAGCCTAGCTCAGACCTGCGCAGTGGAGTCTTTCTCTGTGAAAGACAACTTTGATCCCAAAAGGGTAACTATGCTTCTTACTTCAACAGTACCTGTGAAGAAGCTTTATATACAAACTTTTTTTTTGTTTTTAAGATTATGAGTTGTGTTAATCTAAAGGGGCTCTTCACCAAAAAGTTAATCTCTTTTGTACGCTGTCTCACAGGCGCTGTTCCTGTAGTTTGCTTTTCTCAGAAGTGTTTAACCTTCTGAACATTATGGTAAAATGGGCCTTGAAGGACAGGAATGTTACTCTATTAGATGTCATCTTCTGTTAGCTTGGCACTCAATATGGATTTCAGCTTTGAGCAGTCCCATGAATGAAACTATCTAGATCCACATCAGAGCGAAAGCTCAAATACATGACCTGGGGTACTTGCATCCACCATCAACTAGTTTTGGAAGGCACAGCAAACTGAAATCTTAACTAGTTTGGTGTTCTGAACAATGACTCTTGTTCAAACACATCATTTGTGCCTCCAAGGAGGAAATGAGGGCTAACTTGCTGTTGGAAAGGTCCAGACCAGTGTGCCACTACCTATTTTAACTGATGCTCAGCAAACATCACATTCTCATATACAGCTGGGATATGGCAAGCACTTCCTCTATACAAGATCAGCTTTGCTGGTGGACCCATGTCTGGGGAGAGCTTTGGGAACATCTCAGTTTTAAAAGGTCAAAGTTTTTGCTCGGGATCTTGTATTTGGGAATGACAGACTTGTTTCAGGTTTAAACACATAACTTGACAGACAGATCCCATTAGGTTCACTGGAGAATCGAATTTAACACAGCCAGCTTATGCTTTTGTTTCAGTATATCTACTAATAATGTTAACTTCTAAGAGTCTTCCTGTCTGTCAGTCATCTGTTCAGATCTTGTTTTCATTTCACTAGATGCTGCTTGTACATTTCCAGGGAACCACTTTTTTTTTCATAGACATTTTCTTCCCCTTAATCTCATTCCTTTTCTCACTGTTGCTACTCGCCCCAACACAACCCTCTCCTTTTCACTGAGCACTCAGTCATTGCTTTCTGCTTTGCTGGGTGGGCCCTTCTCACTGTCAGAGGTCAACTGTGGCCCCTGGCAGCCCCCAAGTATGTCTCCAGCTAGCTTGCTAAGGTCTTTGTGGCTGCATTATGGCAGGAATGTCTCACTTGACAACAAGTACATGCACACAGCAGTGCAGATCTGCTAGACCTGCTCCTCCTGGCATGGAGGCAAGGGCTCACCAGGAAGCACTGCAGGACCTGTGTGCTGCATACCCACCCAAACCCAGACTTTATCCGTAGGCCAGGCAATGGGGAGTTAGAAAGGCACCACGATCACAAAATCGTGGGGTTTGTGCTCATCTGCCCATGATTCATGGTGATTAATTCAGATATCAACACACTTTCATCTTAGTATGCAGGGAAATGGTATGCCCTGGCCAAGAAGGATCCAGAGGGCCTTTTCCTTCAGGACAACATCTCTGCTGAATACACCGTGGAGGAAGATGGCACAATGACAGCGTCTTCCAAAGGCCGAGTGAAGCTTTTTGGGTGAGCTCTTTTGACTTTCAGCTGTGGCTGCTGCCAAGAGGTACTGGGTGAGGGGAGAATGGACTGCGATAGATTCTGAGCACAGAACATGACTGGGTTTTCTTCATCAAAAAGGGAAGCCCAGCATGATATTAGAAGCTAGAGTTTAGACACTCTTGAGTCCTGGGTTACTTTTCATCCTGGCTCAGGTTTGGGTCCATCACAAAACTACTGCATAAAATCAGGTATTAAGACAAGTCTTGAATGATGGGAGTGGTTAAGTAAAAGAACTGCGACAAGTGGAGGAGCTCGGGAAGGCTCAGGTGCTGTGAGGGCAGGATAGATCTCATTTCACTGAGAGGTTCAGGGGTGTAAGTGAGTGCTACTTTCACAGACTTCTCAACACAGTGTTGGACAGATTTCTGAGGAAAATATGTGGTTAACTCTGAGATGCCACTGCAATGCCTGAATAGACAGATGGCGAGAAGCTTAGAGTTTTGCCTGTTGGTCATGACTACTACAAGGAATTAAGGCATGTAAAGGGATTAAATAGCTTTCTGAGTGCAGGAAAGAAAATCCTGTGCTCCCGGTAGGCTAGCACTAGCAGGTGGCTATGAACCTTGTGAGTCTTAACAGCACAGCACTCCAGGAGATTTTGAGAAGGGGAAATGAAGGCAAATGAAGCTTTGCAGACAGGCCACACAGTGCAAGTGGGAAGATTCCTGAAAGGACTCTTCAGAAATCAAGCAGGGTCTCAGGGCTGCTGGGAATTTTATTTCCGCAAAGGTAGGATAAAGGGGAAGCGCAGCCTGAGCAAGGAAGGGAATGAAGAACTTTCCCCTGTCCCACAAGTCCAGGCAATGCTTGACAAACTGTGCTAAAACGTGGGTGCTATTCAAAGCAAACAGATCCCAACCAGAAAAGGGCATTGGAAGAAATGGGCACCTACAAGGGCCTCAGAGGCTGTGTGACGGCTTTCCACCAACTTGGAAGGGGGGCTGTAATTATTACAGTGCTTGTGACAGACATCCCTGTGCCAATAGCGCTAGGAAGGGTTAGAGAGAGGGGAGTCAACTCCCTGCCTCTGCCTGGGGACACAGTGAATGACCCCAGAGGAGCCCAAATGCAGCTCACCTCACTCTGCGGGCTGCTGGCTGGGAGCCAAGAAACAACATTCATCATTTTGCTTGGTGGCTGTCTGCTTGGACAGATATGGGGGGCAAAAAGCCATAGGGTCATGAGGCACTGCCCAAACCACAGCATAATCATACAGCAGAGTTGGGAACCAGACAGGCCATGCCCATGCCTAGGTAGTTGTTCCCAAGTCCTGGGTGAGGGATACCCATTTAGAGCTCACATACTGCCAGGTTTTACCTTGACTCTCATGGATCTCGTTGCAGTTTCTGGGTGATCTGTGCTGACATGGCTGCTCAGTACACAGTACCTGACCCAACCACTCCAGCAAAGATGTACATGACCTACCAGGGACTGGCCAGCTACCTCTCCAGTGGTGGTAAGTGAAATTCTCCAGCCCCCTGATGCTGGTCAATTGCTTAAGGCTCCCCGGGTGTGTATTTCAACACATGAGCAGGAAAAACAGATTGCTCTAAGAGCAGCTCAGATTGCTCTAAGTGGAGAAAAATTATCCTTTTTCTGGGGGGAATGCTTTATCCAAGCAGTGCATTTTATCTCCACAGAAGGGGCAGGATCCAGAGAGTCCACAGAGACCCCTCTCATACACCATACACACTAACAGGGAGGATGCAGCTTAGAGGCACGGGGCCACACCACACACACATAGGTTTTGTACAGCCAGGTGAGGTGTTGAACCTAGGGAAGCATAGTTCCTGGGCCCCACTGTGGGCATTATAAAAGTGCTGAGGTCAGTCATCCTTGTACTCTTCAAAGCTAAATGGAGGAGATGTGTGGACCCACGTCTGCACTCCAGCAGCCGGGCACAGTTCTCCTCAGCCAGACACAGCTGGACTAAAAGAAATGGAGCTGTTAACTGCAGTTCCCGCTGCAGCAACTGCTCGTGCTGAACCTCAGTTATGCACCCTGCAAACCCCATTCTTTGTGCCTGAGTGTCCCACAGCTGTGGGAATTCAGCTGTGGAAGTTGTGCAGGACTTGGCCACTAATGAGTAAGAAAGAAATACACTCACTCAGTACTGGAAGATAAGCCACATCAAAATGAACTCAGTTGAGCAAGGCTGGAAAGTAGGAGGCATATTTTGCTGAGGCTTATAGGAAGTGTAATCTGTATGGCCAAAATTTATTCTGTATGCCCTTCCTCCCACCATGCTTGAATGAGCAACAGAAAAACTTCTTTTTTTTGTCATTGCAAACCTAGAAAGTCCTAGTCCTCCTAATACTTCTAGCCTAAGAAACGAAGAGTGAAAATGCACCGAGCACCATGGGGAACAACACGGGTCTCAAGATTCCCTGTGCTTGTCCCAGTTGTTCACAGTGTGGAAATAATCTGGACAAGGGAGGCGAGACTAGATCTTTTGGGAAGCTATCCCTGCCATGAAGTGAGGTGTCCCCCTGTGGAAGCAACCCCCCCACCCCCCCACCCCCGGCTCTGCTTTGCCCACGGTGACCAACACGCGCGTTCTGATGTTTTAGGGGACAACTACTGGGTGATCGACACCGACTACGACAACTATGCCATCACCTACGCCTGCCGCAGCCTGAAGGAGGACGGCTCCTGCGATGACGGCTACTCCCTGATCTTCTCCCGCAACCCCCGCGGCCTCCCCCCGGCCATCCAGCGCATCGTGCGCCAGAAGCAGGAGGAAATCTGCATGTCTGGCCAGTTCCAGCCCGTGCTTCAGTCAGGTACTGTGGGCTAATTTAGCAAACGCACTGAGTTGAAGAGCAGGCGACTGCACTTGCCGCTAATGGGGCAGAATCGTAGCAAGCCAAGGTGTACTCGCTAAGTAACTCTTTTTTAATGTTAGATCTCGTAAGAGATAGCTACAAAGGGAAGTCCATGTAAGGGTGAGAGCCTGCTGCAGGCTGGTTCTGCAGCATTAGGATTGCCCTCAGAGGAACCCTGTGTGCTGAAACTGGAACACTAACAAAAGATGAGCTTTGTTACTCTATTAGATAGCACAGGGATGGATGTAACAACCCCATGTTTCAGCACTTGGAAAGGCAGGTCTTGACCACCTGGGGAACAGCGTCCTCCAGGAAAGGAGAAGGTGCCTTCAAGAAGGACCACCCTCACTCTTCTTAGCTCCATCACGATTTGTGTCTTGAGTGGTCCCAGCAGCAGTGATGAGGGGCTCTGGGTGTTTCTGACTGTGCCTGCTGGCAGTGGGAATCAGCAGCTGTGCCACAGACATGCAAACAGTCCCTGCCTAAAGCTCATTTTGAGAACATTTTTCTGAAGGTGTGGGAGCTGATCTAGCTCAAACACTGCCCGTGAGACAGGCAGATAATTTTTTAGGGCTGTGCTAAAGCAGAAACTCCTCTTTGTCGGCAGTTGAGTGCCCACCCTTCACATACTCACTGCCTTGCCTGGAGGTTGGCCAGGCCCAATGTGGGGGAACACATGTGTGAGACAAGGAACACACTGTGGGACAAGGAAGAGCAGCTAAAACCTTCTGAACGGCACATCCTTGTCCGGCTAGTCCTCCACTGCAGCTCAGGTGCTGGCATTCCCCAAGGCTGTGGGCGTGGGATGGGCATCCCTGCCCCATACCCCTCCACAGTGCTCTCTGTAGCAGAGGGAAGGTAGCTGGTTTGCAGGGCTAGATGCTCAGGAAAGCTGAAAACCCACGCCTAGCTGGGAAAGGCTGCCCGAGTGCTTTGCCAATACACAGAGCAGTGCAAACAGCAACTTTTGCACTAATCTTGTACTGTGATTCAGAAGTACTCTAGGAAGGCTGTAGCTATAGCTTCACTGGAGACTTAAAGACTGTTAAGCAAACTTACTTTAAAGGACTAAAGTTTACTTTTCTTTCTTTCCAGGGGCCTGCTAAAAGTACACTTCTGATCCAATCCTTAAGCCCAGAAACCAGACCTCTTGGTCTTGAAGTTGCCACTCAGCTAATAAAAAAACATAAAATCATAGGACTAGTGTGTTTTGCCTGAAAAACACATGAAAACATTGGGGGATCTGTAAACTGTGTGCAATACAATATTACCTAATGTGGCATTAATCAATAAATGTTTTTAAAAAAAAAAACCAACACACTTCTGAGACTGTTTTTTATCACCTGCTGTGCTGTTTGGGCCAGAAGGAGGGAGGATGCTCATGGAGGAGAGGCAACACAGCAGCCAGGGGTGTTCCCAGCACAGGCGGGGCAGTGTTGCTCCCCAGCACCAAGCTGGGGTGTGCCCAGCTCCCTGCAGCAAGGGTCACAAGGGAACAGGGGTCTGGGCTGAGGTGAAGAAGGTTTGTGAACTATGGGCAAAGGGTATGTGGGGGGAGGTCCCAGGTGAGGCTGCACAAAGCAGCAAAAGCCCGTGGGTGCCTGCAGGGCCCTGGCACATACAACGTGCCTCTTCCACCACCACTTCCATTCCAATTCTGAAGCTAAGAAACCCTATGGAACAACAACTCTGAGGTGAGGCTGACAGTGTGATCCTTGCTGCCTGGTAATACCTTACAGTTACTTCTGGTAATCTGGTACATCTGAATACTCAAAAATCTGCACAGAACATTTTGAACTAGACCCTGGACCACAAATGCAATAAAGCAGATGTTCCTTTCAACAACACTATTCCTTACTTTAAATGAGGAGTTACTTGCATTTCCAATGGCATAAACAGTAATTTACTCCCCCTCTGCCTTCATCATCCAGCTTTCAGTATCTCAGAGGTATAGAGCTGAAAGATACAGAACAGACAGGTTTTATGGCCGAGAATTTAACAGACAGAGAAACCCAAAAAAAAAGTGTCTAGAAAACTCCATGTAGGAAAAGGGTAACCTGAGTCACTATAATTAACATGTACTTCCCACTGCTTTCAGGAAAATCACATTCACTTCTAATATTTCCCATTAATAAAGCTACCAGTCTAGAGTGTCCCCGGCAACCTGGTGATCTCTGCAGTTTGTCAACAACAGAAATTTTTGTAAGTTATGTTTGCCAAGCATAGAGGTAAGAACAAGCTGAACAGCCCCTACCCCTGAAGGCTTCAAAAGGTGTGTGGCACAAGGCTGATGTTGAGTGAAGACCTTCAGAGCACTACACTACCAAACAGTTTCTGCAAGATGCTTGAACAATCTTTTCTACAGTAACTGATGATTATCTTCAGCATCTGTTGGAAGGATCCTTCTCCAAAACCAGAGACATCATCCCAGGAATGCAGGCAAGTCTCTCAAGCTTGCCTCTCCCAGGATTTTCAGGCAGTACTCATATGGTTCTTAACCAGCTTCAAAAAAAGGTGTTCGTTGCTCTTCAGGTCCCAGGAAAGCTACCTTGACAGGGAACAAGATGGTGAACTACTATCAAAAGCTAAGGACAGAAACAGAGGAGCAGTAGCAGGCAATGCTAAAACCCCACATACAAAGAGATTATGAGTGTTGAAAAAATATTGGCCTTTTCTGCTGGACGAAATGCAAGGTCAGTGCATTGACTGAATCTGCACTCCTCTCCCACGAGGAAGTATTGGGGTGGAATACCTGAACTTAGGACTTGTATCACAACTGATTAGACAACGCTAACCCTCAGCTGAAGGAGCCTGGCCTTTGGACAGAACATTCAAACCGATACTACCAGTCCTAGAGAAGAGGGATTTTTAGTATCTGTGGTTATAGCAATTGCATGGCAGGTAGGAGTTACAGCATGAAGAGATGACCTACATGCAGGACCAAGTGCATCCTTACTGTGCTTAGTGCAGTCTGTCCAGATGAGTCAGGCAGTGAAATCCCCCCTCAGCCACATAAGGTTCTCTCTCCAGGCTCCTAGGAACATAGTGGTGGTTCTGGATGAATACACGACAGTTATACACACCCCAGAAATGTGACCTGTACTTGGGGAAACATGTTCCCATCAGGACCACAAGCAGGCCCCCATCGTGTGATCTGGTGAGTTAATAACAGATGGGGCATTAGCTCATATCCATCTCTCTCCAACGACTGCAAGAAATGTGAAAGACAAGGTAGGGTAGGGCAGGCAGCCAAAAGTGTATTCTGATAAGATTTACACTCCTCTTGAAATTCCATTGGGTTCAACACAAAACATCTAGGGTATATCTAGATGCAGGCAGTCTTCTGTCTGCTGTTTGAGCTGGCTGATGAAAAGCAGCCTGTTATTTCTGGTTTTTAAGTGTGTGCATAGGTCCCAAGTCATAATCTTTGTCCTGCACGAACTTTCCACTAACAAGACAAGAGAAAAAAATTGTTAACGAATTAAAAGGACTGTTGTTTTGTCCTCAGAAGGTCTTTTGGCTCTGCAGAAAGCCTATGACTGTGCAACAGCAGGAGGGACCCTGCAAGGATATTGTCCTTCACACACCAGTGAACCTCCTCCCAGCAAGGACACTGAGATCTGACACTATGATACCATGTCGAGTTTGACCAGCTTCCCCTGGGCTGTGGCACATGAGGCAGTCTATGCACTCAGGTTTCTACTTAAGCCTTGAAATTTTTTATGGTAAGGTTCTTTTCATGCTTCATTTTTATGTCATGTTGAAACATGCACCAATCAAGGTATGTTTTACACCTTGTGCTGGTAGAGGCAGCGAGCGGCTGCGTGGTATTTGGTTGCTGGCTGGGGTTAAACCGTGGCAATCCTTGAGAAGAGTCTTTAATTCCCAAGATTCAGTTGTTGACACAAGAGTTTTAAGCAGTTTCTACAACACAATGATGTTTTTACAGGGTTCATGTGAGAGATTAAAAACTGGTTTTATTGGGTAGCATAAAACATGGTAACAAAAGCAGCATATACACAATTAGACAAAATAAAACAGCTGAAAGATTCTTTCAGTTGCAAAAATTCATATATAGTTGCAAACTTGTTATATCCCCTTAGAAGGTTTTGTTTGAAGTACAAGCAAACAATCCCATCTTGCAAATGCAGTCAGATATTCTTACTTGGATTTATGGCCAGCAAGAGACACACCTGACTGCTCTGAAGTCCTGCTTTGGTTCTGATACTGCAGAACTACTAAGCACCTGCTACTCACACTTACTGCTATGAACATCTGGCACTTCTGAAAACTCAGACTCTGATGGGAGGCTGATCACTGCCTGGCAACAGCGGAGATTAATTAAACATGCAATGCTGAAAGCAATATCAGGCAGAGTCAGCAACAGAAGGTTACAGAAATCTCAAGTTTCAAGTATTAAATAATGTTTTTCTGTAGACACTAAATTACAGAAGAGACAAAGGCATTCCAAAACTTCTATACTTTGTTTGAAATACATTCAAGCCTGGAAATATCAAATTATCTTCTCTCTGTAATTGTTTGTACATACTTATTCCTTAAAGGAATAAGTTTATACCATAGCAGCAAAGAAGATTTTTAGAAGAAATCTTCTATTTTTCATGGTTTGCACTTCCATATATTTTCTTTTACATCCCTGAATAATAAAATCAATACTCTTCACAACACCTATGATTCTTTTTTTTTTCAAACACCTGTAGCTGGTGCACAGTCCTTAGTTTGATAAAGACTGTTCTATTCTGATCACCAGTGTGGGCAAATTTTAAAGCAGAAGGCTACTCAGGTAGGACATTCTAACAGGGTAAGCTGTCCTCTCAAGCTCCTCTATCTTCCCCTGCTTCAGACACACTAAAATCTCTCAAAACCCTATACTTAATACTTCTCTAAATAGTTTTTTTTTGTTGTTCCACCTCATACTAGCAACACAGTATGTCTGAACTGCTAAATTTTATTTAAATGTATATTCTGATTCTTCACTTAGGGGCAGCTATAACAACTTGAAAATGCATTTTTACTATCCCCATCCAAGTAGAATTTATCAGTAGCTTTTCCAAAACTGAGAAGGTTATCACTTCAGTAGGCTCCATGGCCCTTTTCTGTTTTGTCTTATGGACAAGGAATTGCAAGATTAGAAAGCGACATGTGACCCTTATTCAAACTTCAGTCAGGTAAGATATATTTCATCTGAATTCTGTGACAAAATGAATCTTTTAAGGCTAATTTTCAGTACAAGCATATGAACAAGTTATCAGAAGTAAAGGAGACACAAGGCCACACCTCAGTGTATACTGGCTTTTTTGTACACGTTTCTTTTCCGTGCTGTAAAAGTGAGGGCATTTGAGGTAATTCAGCTCTCTCCTATGGTGCAAACTTGTTGGTTTTGGTGTTTTGTTTGTTTTTTTTTTTCTCTGAGACTTGAATGTTTCATCAAATACACAGTCTTTGTTGTTGTGTTGGTGAGGTGGCTGATGTCAGCAAAGAAAGCAGTAGGGGATTTGTTTGTGTGACAAAGTCAGTCCTCTTATGGAAAACACTCCAGCTGTTTTCACTGGCATCATCCCTCTCGCTACAAGTGTTTTAAAGGCGTAGCTCACACTGTGCCAATTGTGAAAAGGGGGGAGTAAAACAGCACCCCTGCAATTTCAGGGAACTTTGGTGTTTACATAGTGTTTGGCAGCGGCAAGCACAGCCAGCAGTGCTCTGTAGCCCATGATCTAGGGATATCTCACACTTGTGCACATGCCCTGCAACTGTTCTTGGTTAATTTCCTAAGTGCTGTGAGTAGCAGCCCTGCTACATTCAAGGGTGTGCTCTCCTGTAACGTGAAAACACAAAGGGCTCTAACTGCTGTTTCAGCTTTCTCCTGACTATCCAAAACTGAGTTGTGACTTACAGTCTGAGAGGCAAGGCATGCTGGGGGGAGAGGAGCTCACCTGTCAGGGCTGTAGGACGCCAGGCTAGGTGACAGCAGTGGTGACAGCAATGGAGAGGAAGAGGGACTTTCAGGGTTAAAGCCTCCACCACAAACAGGCAGTGGCTGATGGCCATTGTTCTAACAGGTGACTTGAGCAAAAACAGAAAACAGAAAAGGCAGGGAAGTTCAGAGCCTAGGGTTTTCCGTACCTTCTTCCCCTCTGAGGATGAGCTGCTACCCTTTCCTCTGCCTATGGGAAATAGCTCTGGCATGCCAGGAACAGTCACAAATGCTGAGAGAACGGTGTGGAAACCCCTCTGTGAGAGAGTGAAAAACCTCATACACCTGAAGACATGGCAACGGATCTGAAACAACCTGCTGTGACTAACCAGCAGGGAAGAAGGGATCCTTCACTTCATGCTTTGGATATGTTTGGTTGTTGGGCACTTTTCCATCAAACCATTAGGTCGAGACAGCCTGGCAGCTAAGGCAGGCAGTTTACTCTCAGACAGGTCTCTGCTGCCATCCTCACTCACGCAGTGAAGCAATGGTCCTATTCCTGCTGTAGTTTGTGACCTCTATAAATCTTTGCTTGTCCTGGCCATTAGCTCACTGTAAAATAGGGAATAATAAATATTTATTCCCATAATTCCTAGTTAAGCTGAATCCCACTACTATGGCAGCCTCTGACCAGTTGGGTTGTCAGTTGTGGCTGATGGATAATGCTGCCTTTAGTGCTATGAAGAGTTAATAGGGGCAGTTGCTTCTAACTTGCATTCCTAACTCCCTTCATCAGGTCCTTTCCATACTCCCTCCTCGGCCTGGGAGGAGTTTATTTTCCTGGGGGGTTGTCATTTGCAGGGAACATACACCAGTCTGACACCAAGCCAGGCACCACTCTTCAGGGTCACTTGAAAGCTTCAACATACTCCACAGGAGGAGAGGACGGTCCTGCCTTCCCCCAATAGTCAATGGCACGCACTCTGTAAAAGCCGGAGACTGAGCTTCCTGCAAACGAAAAGGTTAGAAATGTCACTGTGAAACGCTGACACCTGAGGTACCTGGAGGATGTGGAGCAGGCACTACTCCTATAAAATGCAGGTTTGTGGAAGGGGCTGGGGAAATCAGTTCTGCACCCTATGTCAATGTGTCTGTGCACGTCTAAAAACGATTATAAACTCCTGACGGCCAAATATTAGCATTTTTGCCTCCTTGAGCTGAGGACCTCCTCTCTCCTCATTAGGAGGACTTGCAAGTACAGCTACAGGACTGCTTTACCAGCAGTTCCTTTGAAAAAAAACTATGACATCATCTGCAACACACAACTAGTCATTTCCTTCTTTTTTCTGACTTAACTTTTCTGCCTGAATTGTGCCTTTCAAACAGTTATGTGGGGACAGGATCAACAACGAAGCGGAACAAGAAGCAAGCACACAGGTTGACTGAAAACCCTGTGCTCAACTCAGGAAGCAGCACCACTTACTTTAAAGGTGGGTAAGTTGATGTTCTGCGGTTCTGCTGATTTTCATCCTTGACCCAGTTCAAAGAACACAGCTTTACGTAGCAGACTCTTTGACCCCACAAGCAGTGTAAATTTGGTGGTTTTTCATCTATTTGCTTGATTTTTATGTGTGGTTTAGTATTTTTTTGTTAAAAGAAACAGGATGCTAGAAATAGTGGTTGAGGAAGAAGTACTTAGCAATAAAGGCTGCTGAGACATGAGATTTTTTTTAGTCTTTTCTTTTTGTTGTTGTTGTTTTTGAAACAAACAAAACTGGTATTTAATATTGTCATGTAATAATGAATACTAATTTCAGAGGTTTGCCTTAGCCCTGATTTAGTTTTTGTTTACCTGTGTAGCCTTTACATTGCAATAATAGCGCTGAACTTTATTACGCACCCACTGCTCATGTTAAGGTTTTCTCAGACTAAGAGATGAGCTAGTGTTTCTGGCAAAACCATCTCTGAATTGCTCTTTATTAGTATCACTGCGAGGCAAGGTCTGTTTGTGTTTCACACAGCTCTCACCAGTGTTTAGTATCACTACCTGTTAGACAGTCATGCTGCAGACTAGATCACATCTGCTTAAAAAAAATAAAATAAGAAAAAAAAATATCCAAATAAAACAATACTATCTTCTTTCACTTGGGTGTTTCATCTGCATAGGCTTCTATTGCATTCTGGCTGTACTTGAGGAGAAATGACCACATGTTCTGGGAGAAGCTTTGCATTGTTGACAAAGATGAAACATTTACAACTTAAGCAGTTAGGACTAAGTTAGGACTAATTAGGACTAAGAAGAAAGCTCTAGGAAACAGCAAAGAGAGGTGTCACTCCACGTCTTGAGGTTCAGATAGCCAGGACAAACTTTCTTATGACATTACCTCCTCTGTCCTTACAGTGGAGCATCTCACCAGCTTAAGATTGCCAAGCCATAAAAGGAACGTGTGACCCTCCTGGGGCGGATCAGATCATGGTAAATGTGAGACAACCGACCCCTCCATGGAAAGGTGGGAAAAACCTCTCACATATTTGTGTGCTGACGCTATACCCTTAGGCAGTTTAACACCTCCAGACTCAGCAGTGCACAACAAGTGTTGTCAAGGCAGTTTGCTCTACTGCCCTACCCCAAGAGCACTGCACAGATTTCGGCAAAGGCATGGTCAGTACCTGTAGGACTGAACCTCAGACTTGCCTTGCTGTAACTCTTACTCTCAAAAGCACAACACCAGGCTCTGGTCATGTGAGCCACTTGGGATTTTTTGTCCTTTTTGCATGTTTTTAAACCAGCTACAAAAGGGCTGCTTAGCTTCTCAGGGACCTTCCCAGGCCTGCAGCTGGGTGTCTTTCGCTTCTGTGACAGGAATTTATCCATGGCAATACTACTAATAATGTCCTCATGACTATTTGTCAATCAGTGTTTATCCTTGGGAACACAGCTCTCACTGAGAATGTGGTCCTAAACGAAGGCATGTGCTCTTATTTGTGTTGGGAGCGCATGTTACCAGAAAGTTATGGATCTTCAGTAGTTACTAAACAATGTTTCACACACGAGTGGCAATATCAGCATGACAGTTTACCTAGTATGCTTACTCTTGCCATACCTGGACTGTAGACCCAGAGAGTGAATATTGTGTCTTTGGCATTAATCCGCTGGTACGCTTTTCCATCTGACGAGAACTCCACTTCAAATGTCTTTATACACCTAAAAAAAGAAAAAACAGACAGCTCAGTAAATACAACTGATAATGTGTTGAGCAATCCAATACTAGTCTTTGGGGCCATTTCAACAGGAGGGCCAAACCCAGGAAATAGTCGGTTGACTCAATCCTACCAAATGCAGGATGGCATCAATTGTCAGTGTTATGAATAACCAGGGCCCCACAACAGCCCACAGAACACCCAGGCTGACTCGCCACATTGGGCATATGCAGCATCACAAAATATTAGGCATCTTTTACTCCCAAACTTGGGTTATCAAGAGTCATGGGAGACTGGCTTGAAAAGGAGCTAAGTCAGTGCTTCCTGAGGTGTAGTCGTACACTGGATCACCTCTGACAGTTCACCCACAGAAAGTTTCCAGTTCAGTACAGCTGAAGGCAAGGAACTACAGGTTTTGTCTTCTGGTTCACATCCCTTACAGAGATGTGCAAGATACCACCAAGGCATCTGCTGATAATACTACTTTCACCATGGATCTTCCTGTCTGCTATGCTGAAGGCAAGTCCCTCAGAAATGCCATTGAATGCTAGTGAGAAACAAGCAGATTCCTTTGGTCAGGCAGCAAATCAGTCAGGGTTGCTCTCCATAGTTGCTGCATGCAGGTCCTACAGTCCATTTTGTCAGACAAATGCACTGTAAAATCTCTCAAGGAGCAATTATTCATTAATTTTTGAACCCGTTTCACTCTGTAAACTGGTGACAACTTAGGCAGTGATGCATTGGTAACTCAGTTGTAACCATTTTATTTTAAAAGCTACTTACTTTGAATTTACATGATCATCATCCCACAGCACAGTGACCTGCCCCTTCGTGAGAGGGATCAAACGAACACCAGTCACCTGTCAAAACACAGATGCTTGTGTAAGAGAACTGTACAAACCAATCAGCCATGTCAGATTTCCGTGTTCACCCTTCCTTGCTAACTATTTGCTTTGATTTTTTTCCACTGAGATCAGGTGAAAAAACAAAATCCCTGGCTCTGTGGTTTTGTAGTCTATGTCTCCCACCCATCAACCTTGCAGAGGACCTTCAGAGGCTCTGGGCACTGCTATGAACACGTGTGGGAATGAATGAGCAGATATAGATGTCTAATATGTGACAGCCACAATTCCATTTTATCTTTAGTTATCAATTATTAACTGGAGAGCTGTTGTCAAGCCTGGTGGCATAGCATGAGACTTTTAAAAAGATACTGCACTTTTTAGTACTGCATTATTGTTTTCCAACAATGGATAAACTTCCATTTATCTCAGTGATGGCTCCTGCCACTTGCTGTGTAATGCTTTGTTTTGAATTATATCTTGGAGAACCTTCTCATCAAAGGAAAGAATCATCTTTTAATTAATTCAAATGTTAGTCCAGCTCTCCTTAGTAAGATTTAAAGCAGGAAGCAGTTTCTCTTTGGGTGAGTCTGACAGTAGAATACAACACATACCTGACCTGGAGCAGATCTGGGTCTTGCACAGATGTGGACAAGAAAGACTGAGGGAATGGGAAAGTCTTGCTTCAGTGTCAGGATGCCACCTTCAGGAAGTGGGAATGGGCCTGCAGCCAATGGGTCCTGTGGAGCCGAAAAGCAGTGTTTTGAACACTCTTTCATTACAGCACCCTAAGGCCAACTGTAAAATCAGTGTAAAGTGCCTGTGTATTTACTCTGGGATTTTAAATTTCCAATAGAGTTGGTGTTGCTAAGTGGCTTAGAGCCATCAAAGTTCTTCAAGTTGGGAGACTTTTCTATCACACCTGTTTTCCAGCTCTTCAGTAAACACGAGGGTTTGTCCACCTCACAAGCTGGGTTGATTGAAAAATGCCCTTTAGGCCCACTCTGCCGCTTCTAGCAGCCTTTTAGGCTACAGGTCTTTATAAACCATGCCCCTGTCTCTTCACTGGGTGCAGAGAAAGCTGTTGCTAGCTACAACAGCCACGTAGCTGGTCTCTGAGGATGAGGCTTCACCAGATGGACAAGGGCATCTAAAACCTCGCTGCTGCCCTTTTAAAGGAAGAGCTGATGGCTCCTACAGTATCCAGCAGGCCTTAGTGCTAGTCATTTATGGTGACAGGGAGGAGAAGACATAGTACTGTACACCAAAGCCAGAAGGCAACCACTGTCCGTGTGTCCTGAAGGGCATGAAGGTGTCCTCCTTTACTGTAACCTGTGTGTTCGAATGCACAGGGAAACTCCCAGAGAGGTGGCTGAAGCAGCATATTCTCGCACACAGTACGTAATTTCCATGTGGCTTTTATCCCTAGGGAGGAGAGGAGTTCTCAGAGAGGACTTACTCCCTAATTACCTCTACAGTGCATTCAGCACTAGTGAGGATGAGGGGAAACTGCAGCCTTCCCCGTGAGCCCCTGGAGTCTTCTGGACTTGCACAGGGTAGTTTCTACCTCATGGAACTGTTTCTTTTCTGTTATTGAGGGGGTTCATTTCAACCCTCCAATGCAGCAGTTTGGCCCTTCTGTAGTATACACAGGGCCATGTTACTCATTTGGGGAGGCAGAACAGAAAGGGTCTCAAAGTTCACTGAAGCAGAGAGAAAGTGGAACGTCCCCAGGAGCAACTGTGCCTCTTCAGTTTATGGGTAGGCCAGTAGGAAGGAAGTTGGTTATCTACATCTAATCTCTTGTATAACATAAACACAACGGTATCAGTTGTGTATCAGCTACATTTCTCTGCATGACTGCCAGTGCATTTTTGTATGTATGTGAGAGGTAAATGACTGTGGGCTAATGAAATTTTGACAACCTGGCCTTATTTCTTGTCTTTTTCACAAGCACTTTACCTGTACAACAGTTCAGGCAAACGCATACAGTCATACCTCAGCATCCCTTATTTGCTGGAACTGTTCTGGAGAAGGAAAGTCAGGGCTTCCTAGGTTTTTCCACTTCAGGTAGGGATTGGTTTGGTTGTTATCCAGGTAATACGTCACATACACCAGCTCTTTAGGAACACAAATGAAAGAAAGCAAAGTCTTTACTTGGATTTAAAGATTAACAAGAATAAATTTAGCAGAAGAAGTATAAGTCTACCTTCTTAAAAGTGATTTCAGCATATTGGAGCTTGGCTTTCACTGGGAAGTCCCATGGCTAGCACCCTTACAAGGCTGTACAGTTTACGTTTGCCAAGTTTACATTTCAAGCTATTACTTCCACAGCCTGAATTTAAATCCTCTTTTGGCACAGGTGAGGCACATATTCCTTGGGCAACTTCATTAGTTGTGTAATCATGTGGTCATGTTGGCTGTCCTGGACTCATCTCATTAAGGAAATCGATGCCTGGCATTATCCAGACAAGGGCAAGGATTAATAGCTTTCCGAAAAGATAGCACTTGGCAGCTGCCACTGAAGGCAGGGTCATAGTGTAGGCATTAGGAAAGAACCTTTCCTAGAAGAAAACCATCACACCTCACAAAATCTAGGAGTGCCCAGAAGATGAGAAAGTTAGCAAATAAAACTCACTCTTGCAACAAAGGGCAACTAAGCAGATATTATATCCTAAAGAACAATTATGTGAGCTGCCTACATGATATTTGTTTACCTCCAAGACTGGGGAAGTGGGTGACATTCACTGTGACGGTGCTGATGTTGGTTGAAGTCTTGTTATCTTCACTTGAATACATCAGTAGAGTAGCTTGCCAGCTGTCTGAGGGTTGCATCTCACTTGGTGTGTGCACAGACATCAGCACACCAATTGTGCTGTTCTGAGTGCTTTCAACTCCACTGCTCTTCACTTCCGTGAAAATCTGCTTTTCTCCTTTAAAAGATGTGACAACTCTAAGAATCGCTGTTAGTCAGCCCTGTACAGCTCCAGATATAGGAAGGGTCAAAGCACACAGATCTGTAAGCTGAGCTAAATTCTACCTTATTTTACCAGTTACAGGATTCAGTCAGGTTTATTTTTCAACAGCAGAGCATGCACATACTACAGCAGTTCTTATGCTTAGCAGTTCAGCTAGCAACCTGCAGAGGTTGTGACAGGGAATAGGCTCTTCCTTTAGTATGCTGAATAAGTCTTCCAGCTGTGGGGATTTCTTAATCTCTTAATTTCTTTCTGATGGGTACAAGAGGGAAGTACCAGTCAACAGAAAAGGAGTGGCTGGCACACAGAGGGTATAAACAAAGCAGTAAGTTAAACCAAATGGATAACAGACTGTCAGGAATATTTTCTGAGCTATTAACTTCTCTGAGGAGATGGAGTTTCATATTTTTAACACAGCTGGTAAACGATGGGTGGGAGAAATCCTGCTCTTGTGAACAGTGAGACAGCTGGAACAATCTCTCTTAGGCA